GAGTTCATGAATTTCACAACTCATGGAACCATCAGTCCTCGTTTAGCACTGGCAAACCTAGATTTTCCAACATACAGACATGCAGCTGTGATAATCCAAGGAGAAATGACTAGCTAACCTTCTACTTACCTGAATATTTTAATTGTGTGTTCAGATTCTGCGGAGTCAACTGCACGTGTTTATACATTTGGTCCTGCCTTGTAAAGTCAACTAAAGAACAAGTACCTGTCTCGCATTCCTTTGCACACAGTCTAATGGCAATGAAGAGAGAAGACTCTCTTCTCGTAAACCTATGCTACTGTAGATGTGTATGTTGGAGCTAGCTATAACCTTACAGTCTGATCAAAGTACAAAACAATCAACAGAAAAACTACCGCTGGTTTGTATCAGGCCTTGCATGGTTGAGAAGCAACCGTGAAGTTCAACAAGTATCTTAAATTACATTATTTTGATTTTCTCTCCAGATTTTGAATAGGAACCCTACATTTCTTAATGAGATTTTTGTTTGGTTAGAAATGAATAGTTTGAAAATCAAATAGATTGTTTGAATTACAAGGAAATAGTCTTGAAATAAGGTTGCTTTATTATGAAACTTTGGCCTTCCTGTGACTTCTAAAATGACTGCATTGTTCAACTTAATTCCCTATCAACTTTCTAAATTGCTGGGGGAGAGGGGGAAATTAAAAAAAAAATAATTAAAGAAGCAGTTACCATGTCTCTACCCATATTAAACATTTGCAAAGCTGCTATTTTTAACTACGTTAAAAAATTCCTGTAGTGTGAAAGGTGGCTTGGATATTTAACCCAAATCTAGCTTAAAAACAGAATTGGGAGAAATGGATAGGATAGCTCAAGAAAGTTCCACTCTCACAGCTGTCAGCTGAGAAGAAATGGGGGAAGGGGGAAATGCTGAGAAAGGAATTTATTTTTTTTTTGGCAGTGAAGAGAGGAACATGCCATCCCTGTTTGAAAAGTTTCAGGGTGGGAAAGGCTAAGGAGGGGCTAACATACTCTACATACCTTTACGTATATTTTTGAGGCAGAAAAACAGTGTTATGTTTGAGCAGAGTTCAGCAAGTGGAAAGGGAGGTGGCATTCGCTCTGGCCATTTGGTCCTCCTAAATAACCCCGCAATTTACAGCATGCTGAGAAGAAGCACAATGGATGGTACGTGGCTGCCTCACAACAAGAAGGCAACACAAACGCTGTGTACATCGCATCACGTGTAAGAAAATGAAAAAAAAATGTTTAGTGTCTGGAGGAAATATATTAAAAGCGTTTATCTACAAGGCCCTTGGTGGCGTGGGCTCCTGTGAAGTTACACTCGCTGGCTCACGAGCTTTGAATTCTAGGAGAATAAATTATGTACCCCGTTACTGTTACAGCCACACTTCTGGGTGCCTTGCGTGACGCAACTCCCACAGCAGTACAGAGAAAGGGAGAGAAGAGTTAGTCTTGTTTCCTGAAGCTACAGATGTAAGACATTAACATGAACTTGTAGACCAGGGGCGGGAAAGGCAATCCAAAGGTATACTTCCCAGCAAGTTTAAGGCTGCACACTTTTCTTCCTAGACTGGAAGAATAAATGAGATGAGACGTGTAACTGAATACTGGTACTTCTATGGAGATGTTAGAAACAAAGACGTTTTGTAAAGGTTTTGTAAGTTCAGCTCAACAGTGTCTTTTCACACTCCACAGAATAAAAATGTGAATATATTGGGGATGCTACATCCAGTTCGACAGATCTGAGAGTCAGCTAAGGGCGCAAAACTGAACATGCAATTCAAAAAATAAATGTCTAAAAAACATACAAAAAAGACGAAATCCTGAAAAGGGGAAAAGGACACTGCAGGAAGAGTAAGACGTATAAGAAGTAATGAACAAGAGAAGCCTTTGCCTGAGAACTGTCGCAAAGTCCACATCAGAGTGTGAACCCTCTTCCATTGACACCTGTGGATGGAGTCTGGTCAGGGCAAAGTACTGCTAAATTGGATCTGCCTCTTGGAACGGGGTGGAAACCTTCCCGGAGGAATGGAAAAAATGTCCCAGCCGATTAACACAAAGTAATACAGTGCTCTCAGAGGAAATGATAAAGAGAAGAATTTTAAATGGCACAATTCCTTTGACTATTCCTCCAGCATTGCTATTTTTCTAGACCATCCCCCAGCTTGCCCTCACCATTGCATCAGCAGGACAGAAACGTGTAGTACTCTCATTCTTCTAAATCAGTGATTTTCAACTATTTCCAGAACGTGACCTCACATTATAAGAACACTTTCTGGAGTCTGACACGCACTGCTAAGCCCAGAAGAAAGATAGCCCCTGCCTCCTAAAAGCTGTCTGCGACGACCAGATCAAATACCTGTGGACAACAAAGAAGCTGGACCACAGAAGTGGGGTAGAAAAGGTAGTACAGAAAGCGAAGGAATCTAACATCACGGTTAACTTCCTTCCAGTTACCATAACCATGTGATCACTATGAGCTTTTTTCTTTTATGAAAACTGCTCAAAATTAGCCATGAACAAAATTGTGTCTTACTTTCTTCTTAAAGATTTACTCCCTTCCTTACCACTTGTTTTACATCCTACACCATTAGCCAAACTCGGAGCGGCCTGGGTGTGTTCCTCAACGTTATCGCCTGCATAGACCCGGTTTTTCCTAGGGCCTTTCACTCCCCAGCCCAAGCGCTGCCTTCTGATGCTCCCTTTTGGAAGTGACTGGCGTTTGGGTGGGACGCGTTCTCGCTTTGGGACAGTGAGGAGATCTCACATGCAGCCTCACGCTCAACATAATCGTCTGTTGACACAGTCATGAGCTGGAATTCCATTTCTCGTAGCAATAGTTGGGACCAACATCCACAATAACTGTGCACTGAAAACTTGTATTTGTGGCTTCATGGCCAAAACCACAGGAAAACTATTTTTAGTGCAACAGAGCTCTAAATAGTGGAAGCACTGAAAATTTAGCTCACATCATGGGCCAAATTCTTCTCCTGGTTACACCCACTCTATGGAGAAGCTTGAATATAACAAACAGAAACACTCTGAAACAGAAATTAAAAAAAAAAAAAAAGAAACTTTTGCTTATGAGTAAAATCGGTATTTTAAACTTTAAATGAAGAAAGGTACACATCCTCCAGCATTTCCCCTGGAAATAAATAAAAGGAAAGGAAAAAGGAACAGTCTGAAGTAGAAGCGATCTATTACAATAATTGTACCTATTACGATAAAGGTAATTCTTCCCGCTGTATATATCTGAACAATACCTATAGCTAAAATCTCTCTCCATTCATTATGCAGATCCTTTTGGCTTAGACCAGTGAAAAGGACACTGAGTTTATCTGTATCTTGAGAGAAGATGCAGCAGATGAGTGTAGCCTCTGAGTAACAAATCAGGCTTTAATAGCTAGACCTACAAATTACTCACAAGCCAACTACCTAACAGCAGTTTATCATCTCAGGATTTCACAACACGAAACAATGAGTGATGGCAATGCCGAGTCCTCAAGCTTTCTCAGGTAGGAACCAACAGGACCTGACTTTCTCCTTCTGGGTGTATTTCTGCCAGAGTCCCCATTACGGGACGCTGGGCCTTTACAACTTGTATTTAAATCTCGTGGCACACTTAGGGACACAACTTTTTTTTCCACCCTCATGACCAAATAGTTGGGTTTAATAATTTCCTCTCCAGTATCAAGATCTGCATATACAAGCATAATAATGGCTGTTATAAAATTAAAGTGCTTTTGGGCATAGTGTAGTGCTGGTTTTGGACAGCACATTGTAAGCTATTTGCTTCTCTTTGCAAAATTTCCACAGTAATTTTATTTTCCTTTCTTTTCTTTCTGTTAGGAAAAAAGGGAACTGGATCATTTTCTAAAACAAAAATTAAAACTTTTTGGAGAAGCCAGTAAGATGAGAGAATCGCAAAATAGGGTTATTTCTCATAATAACAATAATAAAAAATGTTATTTTTCATTCACTATTTTATCATTGATGAGATTGCTTCCACTCTTTAAGCACTGCCCTATGACATACATTTTAAAAGGAAATACAGGGAGGAAAATCGAAAGACAAACAACACATTTTCAATTTTGGTTACATTTTTGCAAATCTGAAATAAATTAGGATTATTGTTACTGTCTAAACACATTCATATTTCACACAGTAAAGGAAATATAAGAAGTTCATAAACTTTTTTGCTCCAGCTGCTTAGATGGGCCCCATGTAAGGCACTGTCACTAAAATAGTTCACAACCCTAATTACAATTCACCACATCTTGGGAATGACATTTAGGATTCTCGAGGCGCTTTTAGATAATTTTTAGACTCTGCGTAGAAGCTCAGCTGTCACGAAGTAGGTTTTATTTTGTAACAGATTTTATCCTTTGGAATGTTATGTTTGGATTGAGCTGAAGATCTGGAAAAATGCATGCAATATAGTATGCTTACCCCACTGAAATATAACTCCTAAAACAAAGCTGAAACTTTTTGTCCTTTAATGTTCATATTCTAGCCTGTGCTTGCCTATAGCTATTTAGATTGGGGGGGGGGGGGGGTGTGGGGGTGTAGGAGGAAAAACTCTCCCTTACTGCATTATTCCGACTCCATTAGTGTAGTCAGAGAGAATTCCTGCTCTCTGTCCAGTAATTAAATAAATATTTAACATCGCAGGATTTAACTGGAATCCCGAAAGTTAACAATAGCCTCTGCTATCGGTGTCGCTATCGCAGGGGTTCTGTTTTCACAGGCGTATATTTAGATCTCGGCCACATCACCCACTTGCATTATGAATAGCACAAAAACCCCCCTCCCCCCCTTAAAAAAAAAGAAAACAAACAAGAAGCTCAGTGAAGTCTGGAAACTTTTATAAAGTGACGCCATCTCCACGAATCTCCTTCCCCCTGCTGCAAACCGTACTTCAAAGCTTAACAAATTAAGTGGCAGGCAGCCTCTCGTAAAAAAAACAACCAACCAATAACAAATGAACACAGCTTTACCTTTCAGAAAATTACTGCAGCTCCATTTTCTGACCCTTTATTTTTTCACTAGCTCCCTTCCAAGCGATTTCTATTCCTCTCTCTCTCATGCTGGCGGCAGGGCGGCTGGGGAGGAGCCCTGCGCGGGTCCCCAGCCCCGGGGAGCAGGGACCGGATCGGGTAACACACCCAGCAGCACACCCAGAGCTGGCTGCAGAGAATTCAAATTCCCACTTTAGAAACTTTCTGCAATACTTGTGTGTCAAGTCTATTTTTGCTTCCTTCCTTCATCCTGTAATAATGCTCTTCGGTCCGATGCAACGCAGCCATCTTTTGTGCAGTGTCTTTCGTACAATCTGTAGATCAAAAGAGCTTTGCCGGTGTAAATCCTGGCTTTGCCAGAGCTGGCTGATCCCTTTCGGTGAATAATTTATCTAGTTTGCAAAATGGGAACAACTACAATCACAGTGTATTGACTCTCTGCATTAAGTCTCTCTGCACAAAAAGAATACTCCCAACCTGAATGCTTTTAATGGATATAAGTGTGTATATACATGTATAATACATATAACTAGATATATATACACATATAAATATATATACACACACATTTAAGGCATTCAGATGGTATGTCTATGCGCACATGCACACACACCCCCCTCAAAATGGGCCAGTTTAATTAGGATAATGGTGCTTTTCATGTAAAAAATACCATTATAAAGTATGAATGATCTTCATACCAGGCCTTCTACATTTGCATTTTACCACTCTGTGTGTATATACAGAGATGGCAAAAATAGAGAGTAACATTTATAAACGAGAGTGTAAGTCTGCAAAAGACGACTCATTCTCTGTGAATCTACAGCGCTAAACACAATAAAAGCTGATTAGTCTTGTTGACAACAGAGCTCATAGAGGTTTCAAAGTCCAGTTAATAGGAACAGTCTGACAGCTGCACACCCTAGAAGAACCACTTAAAACGGAAAATAAAATTCATGCGATTAGACGCTTGCAGAATCAAAGCCTTTCTTACAAAAATAATGAGATTATTATGATTATGTCTAATCATTAGCCATTGGTCTTCATGAAGATGACTAGGGTTGTGTGTAAATGATCAGCTCAACCCTCTCAAACCCTAGTTCATGAGAAACCTTGTGTCTCCCTCACACTGCAAGCTTGAGTTCCCTTGCCAGAGCTCCAATTACCTGGCAAGATTTGAGCCAACAGTGGACAGGAAGGTTCAGACCCCCCCCGTAAGGCATACAGTGGGGAAGGATGAGCATGGCTTGTCAAAGGAGAGTCAGACTTTGCAGATCACTACTGGGTTTCTTTGAAGGATTCAGCCAGAGCGTGAGGAAGTTAATATTCTTCTTGATGTATTCACCTGGATTTCTAAAAGACTCTTGGCAACATCTCCCACCTTTCTCAGGGAAGATAATCTGCCAGGGGAAAGGAGGTAATGGCCTGTGAGGAAGATAATATTCTTCTTGATGTATTCTACCTGGATTTCTAAAAGACTCTTGGCAACGTCTCCCACCTTTCTCAGGGAAGATAATCTGCCAGGGGAAAGGAGGTAATGGCCTCCTAAGAAGGTATAACTACTTAAAAGAAAGGCAGCAAAGAGTGGCAATATCTGGTTACTTTTCACAGCAGGGGCAAGTGGAATTTCACAGGCAAGCGTGTGCACATCGGTGCTGCTCAACGTATTGCTGAGTGAGCTGGAGAAGGCAGTAAGACAATCTGTGGATAACGAAGTTGTCTAGGAAAGTGAAGATGAGGGCTCAGTGTGAAGAACTGAAGGAGTTTGCCATACTGAGTGGGAAACAAAAGGCAGATGAAATTTGGTGTAAATATAAATGTGAAGTTGCACATGTGGGAGTGAAGTCACATACAAGATGACGTGCTCGACCATATTATTACTCAGTAATGATATTTTATAATAGTTCGATGCAGGTGTTGAATGCATTTTTGCTCACCAAGGAGTGCATTGAATGTCAGGAACTGCTACAAAAGGAATGGCAAACAAAACAAAGAAGATCGCTCTGACGCTGTGAATTCCTGGTGCACCTGCATCTCAGGTTCCATGCAGAGGGCCAGTTCTCCATCTCAAAAAGAAATGCTACACCTGCCAGAGGTACAGACAAGGCCAAAAAGAGTGATCTGAAGCATCAAGTGGGTCCCATGCAGGGAATGTCTAAATAGCCTCTTCCATCTGGAAAAGAAAGAGCTGAGAAAGGATATTACAGACATCTGCAAAAAGCCCAAGTGGAACAGGGAAGGTGAAAGAAGACTTTGTCTTCCAGTTCTGGAGGAGGTGAAAGGACACTTAGCTGCAGGCTTTTGAGAAGAAAAAGGTAGTTCTTCACACGAAGTGTAATAAGGGGTTCAAATCTCCGCCACCGAACGTTGCGGGTACTAAAACGTTACATGAGTTCAAAAACCAAAACTGGTGACACAGCAAATTCACAAAAGAAAAACCCGTTAAAGGTCACTAAATATAAAGACACCGACCTCTGGCTCCGGAATTCCCTCGGTTGCAAATTGCTGGGCGAGTATTCTGTGCCGTCACTGTTTGCCCTGTACTTGCATTCTTCCTCTGGGCATCCTCTGTTGCCGGCTGTTGGACGGGACACTGAGCTAGACAGACCTTTGATCCCACCCGGTAGGGTCATACTCATGTTCTTCACACGCTGTTAGGAGAACTGCTTTTCATCCTGAAGCTCATATCTCACTGCAGTCATATTTTATTGTCTAAAATATCACAAATTCTGGTCTGCATTTTTTCCAAATTGTGTGATACCCCAGTTCTGCCTCTCCACCATTCTACAAATATTGTTACATATTTACAAATTACATGTACAAATGCATCTGTTAATAGGAATAAAACTCTTCTGGTCAAAACCTGTGAAATCGTTTTTGTTTAGTGTACCACTCTGGCTTTCTCAATATGGTCAGGAGCAAAGCTTCCAAAAAGTCAGTAATGAGTTTACACTATGTAATTAAAAAATGCATTAATTATTCTAATCTACATTAAGAAACTATTATTAAGAACTCCACATTAAAGGTAATTTAAATAGAAGCTTCAATTTAGTGAAGCTTCAGTATGGTAGAGCACAACTGTGCAGAGCTTATAGCCCAGCGCAGATACTAACTGAACTAACCATACAACATCTTTTCATCCACATTTTTATATCATTATGTACAACAACGAACATTATGTTTTGAAATGTGCATCTGGTCTCTTCCAGTGATACCAGAGCTGTGCAATAACGGGAAACTTCCCTTCGTGCCAAACGGGAAAAAAAAAATGGCTTTTTTACATTTTCTGTGAAGGGAAAATGGTAGCAGGGAGGACACTCATTTGGCATTTGAAAAGTTGTGTTTTGACAGAAAAAAAATTCCTTTTAAAACAGTAATGCAAATGAGGAACGTCTAATGGAAAAGTCATTTCTAAAACTTGTGTTTTGACAGTGATGAGATGGGATTGCAGCTGAACTTTTCCATTTGTCCGTTCTTTTCCTTCCCTAAACCAACAGTAAAATGCAACGTAATTCACAAGGTATTTTAACAAATCTATATATGCCAATGGGACAGATTTAGGCCAGAGTTTCTTTGGTCCAGCTCAAAAGGACAGCAAAATACTTGATGATATTTAATTATTACACTTTCTAAGAGAAAGGCATTTTAGATCCTATTAGAAATACAAAGAAAATTAAGTTCAGCTAGAAAACGCCACGTGTCCAAAATCAGTCCGAAATATCAGTGGCAACTTCAGAGCAGGAATTTTTAATTCAACCCCAATTTTGAATTCCAAAGACTAACCTGATACAGAGGATCTCGGGTGCAAAAACACAGAGCAGTTGTAGTTGCACTGCAGTTCCCACTACCGCCTAAATACCGACATTTTGGGGTTTCATAGAGCAAGGAGGTGTTTCCATTCTAGATTACTGAGGATGTGTTTCTGAGAAAGTCACACAATTCAACTTGAAATAAGCTCTTTCCCGCCTTTCTTATACATAACTCATCACACCCAGATTTTAATATTTGTGTTCTTGTTTCAAACCTACTCTGCCAATTTATTATATAAGCAGCACCTTGATCTTCATTCTGTCAAACAAATTTCTTAGAAAAACTCTTGATTTTGGTGCCAGTTTTTATTAGTGGGATAGTTGGAACTGCTGATAGAAGGCTATAAACCCCAGTTTCAGGAAAATACTGATTAGTGCTTACATTTAAGCATGAGAATAATCTCCCGTCTATTCAGCGAAGTATTTATGGCTATGCTTTACTTTAAGCACACGCTTAAATGCAATTAACTTCATTTTAATCATGGGCTTAAGTGCTTTGCTCCCTCAGGATAACAAGACCATTGGCATTTCATTTAGCTGGCTGAGCTTGTTTTTAAGTAAATCTCGTACTCTCAAGCACAAACTGACAAACATGCAAATAACAGTTACCTTTTTGCCTAAAGACAGAAAATGATAAACCGAGTAGTTCTCCAGTCCATGAGGGGAAACACCGAGGCATGGAGTAGATTTTCATTTCCCTGATACTATCATATTAATTGTCTGGTAGTGAAATGCTGCCCTGCAAGAAGAGATTGTGCCGTCTTTGATCTCCTTCTGTACATGAGCAAGAGGAGACATAAGCGTTATTTTCCATTGAAATGAAGAATGTTTGCTTGTTTGCTAGACAAAAGCAAATGTCTTTGAGACATTGTGGGCCATAGCTTCACTTGATATAAACTGGCATGCCTCTTTCATTCCAGGGGAATTACACTAATTTTACACCTCGGAGTACATCTCGGAGACTTTCCACGTCATGTATAAACTTGAATAGAGAGATTCTGTATCATGAGGTGAGATCATAATATGCAAGTGTTTGACAGACATAAAGCTATGAGGTCTGGGAATGCTTGATGGTAGCTAGTAAATACAGTATGGTCTGGTCATTAAGTGGGACCAATTGTTTATAAGAAGAATAAACCAGTTGGTAGGCAGAGCCAAAAAGCAGTTTTCTTTACCATGGTACTCCTAATTAACAACTTTTCCCGGCCGAAGCAGTAAAATGCAAAACTATGGTTTTATTAAGTCTTACGTGGCTCAAAAAAACCCTTTCAAACGTCGTTAACATTTGATC